TTTTGAGGATGGTGAGACCTTGGAGCTGAATGCCAAAGATGAGTTTAAGATCTGTAAAATGTGATTTTTTAAAACTTTCTTTTGTAATGCTTGTAGTTGGGAGGTGTGGAAATTTAATTATGGAAAAAAAGAAACTGTGCCGTTTTTGTAATGGTGGCTGGCACACTTTGGTGATTTAGTGGCAAATAGATTTCCCAGCAGCCTTTATTGATTGTACTAACTGTAAGGCTGCTGGGAGGTGGAGTCCATTGGGCTGATAAGCTCTGCTTGCCATTTTGGTATCTCACTCCTTAGTTCAATAGACTGGCTTAGGTCCTTCTCATTCTCCACCTCTCAGTCCAAATAAAGCTTTTTTTCCTGGAAAAAAAAAAAAAAAAGAAGGAGTAGAAGACAGAGAAGAGAGGAGGGAGGACCAAGCTAGCCGTGACTAAGGTCAAACTGGCCCACTTACTTCAGAGCTTGGAAATCTACCTGCCAATTCTGGTAGGTGTCAGATGGAAGCCACTTATCTGACTGGATTCTGACCCTGAAAGGCAGGACAGTTGCTCATTTGCAGGTCAGTTTCATTGACAATAAAATGACATTACTACTTGCTGCTTTCCCGTCTGATAAAGAGATACTGTGAGGGATTAAGTTTTGACCTCTCAGAGTTAGTCAGGTATAATCAGGAACTGTAAGCCTGGGGAAGGAAGAGTACAACTACATGTGAGGCCGATTCCTGTAAGGCTGCAATTTGGTTTGTTAATAATCAACATTTATTATCTCTTCTCTGGAGTGGAGGTAGCCAGAGTATCTTCTTTCAGCTGAAGAACATTAGACCGTGTGGAAGGTAAGATATGTAACTTGACCATACCGATAAATCTATACAATAAAATTATATTATCAGAATTGGCTTGGAGTTTCTGATCTCCGGCCTGTAAAATTAACTAAGATTTGAAAATGCTTTATAAGCTGCAAAGGACTGGTGTAGTAGATGTCATTAACAACTCTAATAAAGAAAATGCAACAATTGCCAAAATTTATGATGCTGAGTATTATTTCATTTTTCTGTTCCCTTTAAGTATTCCTAGGCTACCGATTTAGGAAGAGATTAAAAGGAACCCTTCAGAGAAACGGACACCCAAAAGTCAGGCTAGAATTGTTTTATCAAGACAAAACATAAGAAAACATAGGCAGGTATGTTGTTGATACAGAAAAGAGGGATTTACTGTTTGAAATATCAGTGATGAATTATTTAATGTGAAAATAACATAAAATGTCACCAATCTAATATATTTTTCCATGGGAAGATTCTCAAAAATAGTTTTTAGATACTTTCAGTAGCCTGTAATTAAGCAGATATACCTGTAAGCCTATTGTATTTAAGATCAAAAAGAGAGGAAGCTAATTTGTGGTAATACAATCACAACTTATAGGAAAAAAAAGTGTTGCTTGTTTGTGTTGCTTGCTAGTTATTGGGTCATATGAAATCCACCTTCTGTTCAATGCACTCTAAGCCCCTTGGATACACACTCATTTACGCTCCACTGCCCAGCTCAGATGCTCAGATTTGGGGTAACTCAGCTCAGGAGTGCCTCATTTCACGACTGATGCTTTCTATCAACCCGTGAAAATACTCAGAATTACTTGAGATATCTCATTTAACTCTTTTTCCATTATTCTCTAAATGGGAGACAAGTGGAAGCCTGAAGTGTTGGGATTGGGACAAAGGAAAGCTAGTGTGGACTTCTCTTCCTCCTCCCTATTGCTGGAGTCAAGTGACTGCAATTAAAATGAACAACTTAGATTTATGTGGAAAGATCTGCCAGATGCACTACTAAAGAAAAAACCAAAGTGCTGAACAAAGATGCTGCCATTTGTAGAAAAAACAAAAACAAAAACCCTGTCTGTAAATGAATGAAATATCTGCAAAGAAATCCAATTAATCTAACGATTAATCTGAGAAAAAGAATTTGGGAGAGAGAATGCAGAAGATCCATGTCGGGAGATATTTTTCATTATGTACTTTTTCAAATGTTTGAATTTTGTCTCATTTGCAGGCATTGTAGTTACACCCCCCCCCAAAAAAACAGCTTTTAAAAGAAGAGCCAAGTAAGAGAAGTCTCCCAAGAGTCAGGCTTCAGTGCCCTAATGCCTCTATTTCTCATAAGATGGGAGACTGCAATAGAATTCAGGTTCCCAAGAGAGTGGTCAGATGGTGAGGTGAATATTAGAGCCTGCGAAGGCAGGGCACGGGAAGGTAGAGGAGGAGGAGGAGTCAACCTATTTGGGGCCATCTGCTCTGGCCCTCCTTGGAGGCAGTTGTGGGAAAGTTCTGTGGTAGCAGAATTCTAAGATAGCCCACAACATACCCACCCACTGGTGCATGCAATTTATATAACTTCCTCCCCTCGAGTGTGAGCAGAACCTGCGAATATGATGGGATATCACCTCCTATGACTAGGTTTCTAATCAATTGTCTTTGAGATAATCCAAAGGGAAATTATCTAGCTGGGCTGGACCTAATCACATAAATCCTTAAAAGGGACTGAGCCCTTCAGGAAGGCAGAGACATATGCCCATGTTGGCCAGCAACTGCCTATGGAGACCATGTGGCAAGGAACTACTGGTGGTATCTAGGAGCTAAGAGTGGTCCCCAGCCAACAGCTAGCAAGAAAATGGTGACCTGAGTCCTACAACTAGAATTCTGCCAGCAATCTGAATGAGACTTGAAGGAGACCCCAAGCCTCAGATTTGAATTGCAGCATTCTCAACTATAACGTGCCCAGACCTCTGACTGATGGAAACATAGAAATAATAGATGGGTGCTGGGCTTTTTTGCTTGTTTTTGTATATCATAGAACTTTTATTATTTTTTCTGCTAAATTTTTAAATATTATATAGCATCCATATTTTAGTTATGATACTATTTACAGACATTTAAAATGCATCTTCATGGGGCTCCTGGATGGCTCAGTCAGTTGGGCGCCCATTCTTGACTTTGGCTCAGGTCTCAGTCTCAGGATCATGAGATGGAGCAATGAGTAAGTCTCCTCGCTGAGCAGGGAATCTGCTTGTCCTTCTTCCTCCCCCTGCTTGTGTGCATGTGTACACGCATGCTCTCTCTCTCTCTAA